ATCTTATGATCTAGACTGTCAATACCCCCTCCCCCGTGTGTGTGTGTGTGTGTGTGTGTGTGTGTATACATACACATATATATATATATATATATGTGTGTGTGTGTGTGTGTGTGTGTGTGTGTGTGTACTGGGTAATGACTATTTACAAAGAGCATGCTAACCACCACCAACCCCAATTCATGGAAGGAAAACTTGAAGAGGAGCCTTGGGAAGTGTAGTGTCATGAAAACCCGGTATGTCCCACTCTACACCCCAAGCAGTGGGTTAAAGATGGTGCACACTCTTTGCTACCCAGCCCATGGAGAGGTGCTGATTAGTTTTTAGTGTCAGCTAGGTTGGGTTATATAAGAATCCAGTTATTTACTTAAACACTAAGCTAGGTGTTGTTGTGAAGGTGTTTTAGATACAGTTAACATCTAGAATAGGTTGTGTAGAATCAAATTATCCTTTTGGATCAATGTAATCAGTTGAAAGATCTTAAAGGTAAAAACCGAGGTTTTCTAGAGAATAAATTTGGCTTCAAGAATGCAGCATCAGCTCCTGCCCATGTTTGCAGCTAGTGGCCTGCAGTCCTAAAGATTTTGGACTTGCCAGCACCCACAACCTCATGGTCAATTTCTTAATATAAATCTCTTAGCTAGGTAGGTAGGTAGATAGATATTCATAGATGGATGGGTGGATAGATAGATGTTATTAGTTCTCTTTAATAAATGCACAGCCTTTGCAAGTGTAGTTTTTCCCCTTTATTTTATAGATGATGACACTTTTTCCCCCAGCTTCATAATTCATTGCACAAACTGAGTATCCTATGATGAGTGACATTAACTTCTCCATGCATGGGAACAGAAAAGAAGAGGTACAAGAACTGAGGTACAGTTTCTATTTAGAAATAGAAACACATAAGTGCCTCCCTAGTGGTGTAGGGGTTAAGTCCCAGCACTTTCACCGCTGCAGCAAGGGTTCAATCCCAGGCCAGGGAGCTGGTGCACACATGGCACAGCAGACCTCTCCTGCCACACCTCCTACTCCCCTCAGCAGTGTATTTCAGTCAATATTTCTGTTCTGCTCCCCATTCTGTCCCTGATGAATCCTCTCACCCCCCACACTTTTGGCTTAGACCCCAGTTATTCTATAAATCTTAAAAAAAAAAAGAAACAGAAACACAGAAAACAACACAAACAGTTTAAACCTGTTTATGTTGCTTTCACAGCTGGGATTTTGTAAATGTTTTTTTTTAAATATATAATTTATTTATATATATTTTACATCATTGTTTATTTTTAAAAAAGTGTTTGCTTTCTTTTCTCAGGTATAGTCCCCATAGAATTTCCACCACCAGTTCACCCATTCACCATCGCCATAGTCTCTTGTGCTCTTCCCTCCCTCATTTTGATCCCTCTCCCTCCTCCTCCCCTGCAGAATATTTCTGATTTATAGTTCTCTGTTTATTTTTGTTTTGGTATTTTTTAATTGTTATTGTTTTTTCCCCTGATACCTTATTTGGTTCCCCTATATTCCTCCTATAAGTGAAGCCATCTGATATTTTTCTTTTCCTTCTGACTTTCTTCACTGAGCATAATCCCGTCTAGTTCTGTCCATGTTGCTGCAAATGGCATGAGTTTATCTTTTTTTGATTGCTGAATAGTTTTCCATTGTGTATATATACCACATCTTCTTGATCCAGTCATCTAATTTTGGGCATTTGGGTTGTTTCTAAGTCTTGCCTATTATAAATCGTCACAGCTGGAATTTTTAAAGAACTCAAAATGAGTATAAGACCATCAAAAACTGAATGACAGACAGGATAATCTTCCTGAGATATATTGAAGAGCCTGACCCAGAACACCTCTCAAAGTTGACAAGCATGTGAATTCTCCAGGGTCTGGTTAGAAAGTAAATTTTGGTTCAATTGGCATATTACTAAGTTGTTGTGCATAACAAAGCCCCAAAACATAGTGGTTTTGTTAGTGAGCAAAATGAAGGGTATGCCAAGGACCCCCAAACCTGCACTCTCTAAATGGGTTCTGTCATCGATCGCATAAAGATACAACATACTCTAAATGCATAAAACCTTAAATAGAAAAGAACATTAATACAATTAGTGGCAATAGAGAGAAGAGGAAGAATATAGTTAAAATAGTGTTGCCATGAAACACCCAATGTTACTCATCCCCTCATGGGTAAATGCCCAGCCAAACAGGGCTGACCCAAAGCAGGGCTGCTGAGGCCCAAAATCTTGCCACAAATGTATGTCGCTTTCTGCTGGAGAACCACAGGAAAGGGGCAGAAGGGGCCAGGCAAGTCTGGAAGGAAAGGAGCAAAATCAAAACACAAGTCAAGATAAAGGCTGCCATTGTCAGCCTCCCATGGGTCTCTTGCCCACGTCTCTGTCTCTTCCAAGTGTCTCCTTCCATGTCCCCCAAGTCCCTAGCACAAGTCCAAGGCTAAGAAGCTCAATGGGACGGATCATCCAAATGGTTCCTTCACATGAGTGGTAGTTGCTTCAAGCTGTTACCTGGGAAATCAGGTAGGGGTTGATCAGGGCTGAACAGCCCTTTCCACCTTACCAGGGTTTCTTATAGCATGGTGACTCATTCTGGGATTGTGGGGAGGTGGATTCAAAAGCTAATGTAAGCCTAAATTGCCAGCCCTCTTCCAGGCCCATAGCTAGTATGCACTGCCTCCCAAACACACTATATTAGTGTAGTTTTGGGAAGAAGGCAAATAATTTCTCTTATTGGGGATAAAGGCAAAAAATTTGCAACCTCCTGATCTTTGGGGTCAAGTCAAGATTCTGCATTTCCATACTGCTGGTGATGCTATTGGGGGAAAAGAATAGAAAACTTGCAAAGGAGGTGCCATAAGACCAGAATCTGACTCACACAAGGAGGTGGCTGTAGAAGGGATTAACATAGCCATTAACCCAGTTAATGGTCTGAGGACTATGGCCGACTAATATCAGGGTGAAGTTGGAGGTGCAGAGGTGAGAGAATTCACTAAAGACGGAGTGGAAGACAGAATAGAGGATTTATTCAAATACACTGCTAGCAGAAGCATAGGGAGAGGGGAGAAGAGGCACAAAAAAGAGTTTGTGTCAGACTTTTCATGACTGGGGGAGTCAGTCTGGGCCAATTGTTTACTGGGATGTCTGGTTTGGGGCATTGACCTTTGACACAGAAGGTGTCCTGGCCCTGCTTCCACATCAGTGGTGGAAAGTGGTCAGTCCTATGGCCGGTTCCCATAGCAACCTTATCAATTCCCTTGATCTATTCAAGTCTCATAAACCTGCCTGCTGGGCAAGGGGTAGGGTCTTAGTTTTTAACCTTATTAAATGATACCCTGCTATGACTACATTTTGAGTAGCCAGTTCTTACAGCTCATGGCTGTGAGAGTCTTTTTCTTCCCTAAATATTTTATGAACACCCACACTGTGCTACATGTCACTTTCGTCTGTGCCATTACGCTGAATTACTTTGCTGTGAGGCCGGAGAGTTATGGTACCTCTCTGAACCTGTTCCCTCAATGTCTTTCTTCCTCTCTCCCAACCTAATAAGCCAGTCCTGCTGCCCTTGCCCTGCCCCTGCCTCTTCTCTGGAAGGGGCTTCAACAGGGGGATTCACTCCAGCAGAGAAGGAGGAAGGATCTAGGGAGTGTACCCCAGATCAGCTCCCTGGAGTTGGATTAGGTAGGACTGGAAGGAATGGAGGGTGGTGGTGGTGGACTTTGGCATTTCCCCTACAGTCTGTCAGTTGTAGGCAGAACGTCTTTCCTGATCCTCTCAGTTGGCAGCTCCCTCCTTCAAACCCAATCTCATATTGGAGCTTGGGCATGCGAAGACCTCATAGGGGCTGAGACCACTTCACAGGGAGGTTTGGAACAGAATCTGGACAAAACGTGCCCGTGTAAGGCAGCATTCTATTGAAATGGGAAGGTTCACAAAACTGCCCAAATGAGTTCTTAGAAGTCTGAACTTCGAGAAGAATGAAGTGACCTACCATAGCTGTTAGTAAGGAACAACAAAAATTCAGAGTGATGTAAAGAAGTTAGCAATTTATTAGAGGCGGGGTCTCGAGTGAGATACCCATGAGGTAGTTTTTTAGGCTACTGTATATATTCTTTCTTGGTGGGCTTCTGGCTTCCTGCTGTCAGGTACTGCTGAAGTCTGTTGCTTCATTTCCAGCTGTTGTTTTTTTTCTCCTTATTGCCTTTCTCCTTCATCAGCAGATGTTTTCCTCTTATACGGAATTTGGTCGGGGGGTCTCCAGCCAGCAGAAACCTACTGGGTGCTTATTTACTGTCTCACCACTACCCTCTTAGGAAGATGGAGCGCAGAGAGGCCTGTCACAGCCCATAGTCAGAATGAGACTGGGGCAGAGCAAGACCTCTGCTCAGGGTCTCCCAGTGCAGACTCCCCTGCCTGGACTTTATTCACACTTGACCCCTTGTAGCCTTACTCCCTTGCCTCCGTGTTGTCCTGCTACTGGCAAGCTCTTTGTCCCCAGAATCTGGTAATCTGGGTGATCCCAGCCGGGCTGCCTTCTTTGTTCCCCTGGGCTGCTTGGAGATAGGACTTGAACCCTTGTCAAATTGTGCACCCCACAGGCCAGAGGTTTCCTGAATCTGAGCTTTCTACTCTGCCAGGAAATGCTGTGTGACGTGCTCTTGGCTCACATGGGAGAGGAGCTTAGAGATGCTATGGGACAAGGCTTGGCTTGTTCCTACTCATCTGGCACCCGATCAAGTTCATGTTTTTTGCCTGCTGCACCCTGGCCTTGGAAGGGTAGGAGTGGCTACAAACTTGGAGGCCTCAAATCACCTTTGTGCCCCCCAGCCCACGAGAGTTCTGGTCCAGTGCCCACACCATGTGACTGAGCTGCTTCCCCTCTGGAGCCCTGGGTGGCTGCCAGATCGGGGAGGAGGCAGCCTGGAGGCCTGTGAGGATTGGCTGACCTAGTCAAGCCTGCCTGCCCCATTCAGAGGTTGGGCAAGGGACAAAGACTGCCCAGGACAAAGGAAGAGGGGCCAGAGCAAGACTGAAAGTGCTGCTCTACAGCTGAAGGAGCCAGGTTAGAGCTGGGCGGCCTGGCATTGTAGTCCAGTGTCAGGAGGGACACTGCCCAAGGCAGGGTGGCTCCAGGGAGTGAGCTGGCCCCAGGGTGGTGGTTTCCTTGTAACTGGGGCCCCTGGCAACCTGATTCAGCTCTACTCTTTCTTCATTAGTCTTATTCTCTCTCCTTCTTGGAGCCCTGGCTCTGCTCTGATTCTCCTCCTCCGTCCTTGTTTACCCTCTCCCTGCCTCTCCTCGTCCCTCACCCTGTTGGCCCTCACTCTCACTTAGTCTGTGAACTCCTGCCTCTGCCTCTGAGCTCACATCACAAGGCCTCCCAGGCCACAGGTGCTCACCCTCTACCCGGTGTGCCCCACAGGATGCCGCAGCTGAGCCTGTTCCGGTTGGGGCTCGGGTCGCTGTGGGCCTCCCCTTGGCAGCTCCTGCTGCTGCTGGCGGCTTCCTGGCTCCTGGCCCGAGTCCTGGCCCGCATCTATGCCTTCTATGACAACTGCTGTCGCCTTCGGTGTTTCCCACAGCCCCCGAGGAGGAACTGGTTCTTGGGTCACCTGGGCCTGGTGAGTGTGGTGACAGGACAGGTCGGGTTGTCAGGGTAGATGGACTTCCTGAGGGATGGTGGGTGGACACAGGGAACTGCAGGTCAGAGTTGGCCTGGGTCTAGGGCAGCAGGGCAGTGAGGGAGGTCGAAAGGAGCCCTCTCCTGACTCCCCCACCAGGCACACTGCTCTGTTTGTCTCTGTCCACTTTGTGCTTCAACTCCTTTTTTGTTCTTACCCTCCCTTACCTGAAACCTGCCTGTCTTCCCATATCAGTGCACCTCCAAGGAGCTCTCAGGGTGGGCTGCACAGAGTTGGGTCCCCTGGTGTACCCACAGTCTCCTCACCTGAACTTGAGGCCTCCTGGGGTGCTATCCAGGGTTCATTTCCCACCTGTCTGGACCTCTATTTCTACCAATTCTCTATGACTTTCCCCACATGGGGCCCATGTTGGGCCTGAGGGCAGGCGTGGGCAGTCTTTCATTCTACTCTCCTTCCTCAGTCCTTTTCTTAGTTTGCCTCCCATCCCCAAGATAATCAGTGGGCCCCATTGCCATGCTTGGACATAAAAATTGAACGTGTGTCCTTTCAGGAGCAATCATTCTGGGCTCTGACCTCATGGCCAGACCTCTGGGGTGGCGGCTTCTCGCCCACCATCCTTGCCTCATCCCCAGAGGCCCTTTTTGTTGTGTCAGGCCACTTCTGCCACAAGCACACTTTGGACATTTTCATCACTTGTTCTTGCTCCCATAGTTGTTGATCCAAATGTTGCATTAGCCCACCCCCGGCCCCACTTTTTTTTATCTTCTTTGCCCACCCCTTCTATCTTAGACCCTGCCAGGATAACGAGTCCCTGCTACACCTGAGCCAACAGTTTCCTTTCCATCCTTGGAAAGCATTGAGCTTAGCTCCCCATTGTCCACTCATGGGCCAAAGTCTCCTGCCAACTGGGCTTTTCTTCATGGTTTTCCTTTTGGAAAACCTGGTCAGTTCCTTCATCTCCTCCCATTTCAGGTCAAGCCCAAGGCCCTGCTTTTGCTTAAATAGTGAATTGTCCAATTATTTATCATCCATCTCTCCCACCAGATGGTAGCTTTGGAGGGTCAGATAAAATATCTGCAATGCCTAGCCCAAGATCTGGCATATAGAAGGCCCTTCATAAATGTTTGATGATGTTAAGGTCATGTTCCAGGCCTGAACTTGCCATCACCTCCCTCCCTTGATCATCCAAGGCCAAAGGAATGAGTCCAGTTCTTTTCCACACCCTCAGTCCAGTTACACAGAACAGCTTGTCCTGAGCTATTTGTGAAGGTTTTGTGAAATTCTAGGTTTAGAATGTTTCAGTGACCTGTGGAGTCAGTGGAAATATTACAAAGTTACTGCAGATCTATCTTCCTCTCAAGGGGGTTGGTCTTGTTCACTCTTACCTTTTCCATTTTTCTGTTGCTGTGTGACTTGGCTGAGTCACTCTCCCTCTCTGGATCAATCTCATCAAGTAATTATATCCTTGCCTCAGGCTCCTTGGGCAGCAGTGATCAGTTTTCAAAGGTGAAAATGACTTATGCTCACCTGCCTGAAGCATGTGGGGTATTTGTCTGTCTGGGATGAAGTATCCCAAGGGAGAGGATGCCTCAACAGGAGGGGACTCATCTTCCCTCCTTTTTCAGAGGCACAGTCTCAGATTTTTTTATTTGTAAATAGCACAATTAATGGGCATGTCCATAGGTTGGGAGATACAGATAGATGGGAAGCACTATGAGAGACAGATGATAGATAGATGATAGATGTAGATAGGTGATATAGATAGATACAGCATACATTATGCTCAGAGCCTGGCTGACCGAAGGGGCTCTTGCAAACCATTTACCAAGAGAGGAACTGGAATCTGTGTGGATCAGTCAGGACCAAGCCCCAGGACCACCTTACTGCCTGCACACTCTCCATGGTGGGACTTCTCCCTGTGGCCATTGCCAGGGCTGTCACCCCCAACTGACAAAAGTCTTCTTGAATCAAGGCCAGCTTCCCTGAGTGCAGAGAGCATCCCTGGGTCCTGGGATACACCGTTGTGACTAGGAGACACTGCCAGGACCTTCTCAGCTAGAGAGGAAAGGAGTTGGAAGAAGCAGATTCCTTCCATCCACAAAGAATCTGGAAACACTGCCCCTTTCAGAGGCTGCAGGGGTGGCCTGGCACATTCCTTTTTGTGAGTCACAACTCTGCCTTACTTATAGACCTAATCCATGGACTATATGAATGAAAGTATATGTATGTGGGTGTGGGTATGTATATGTCATTTATCTATCTATCTTTCTGTCTATCTATCTATCTCTATCTATCTATCTACCATCTTTCAAAACAGAGTGATGAAGATGAGGGGACAGGGAGAGCCATGTAGGTAGACAGACCCCAAAAAAGACAAATGAACCAACAGAGAGAAACTGATTTACTGAGCTGCAGAGAGATCTAGACCAATAATCCAGGCAGAAGGGGGTGAGAGGATAAGTAGGGTGTGGTGGGTAGGGTGTGTGGTGGGCAGCCCCACTGTTGGGCCTGACTTCAGTCTTGCCCTTCCCCAGGCAAAAAGCAATGAGGAGGGTTTGCGGCTGGTGGAGGACCTGGGTCACTACTTCCGTGATGTCCACCTCTGGTGGATGGGGCCCTTCTACCCCATCCTGCGACTCGTCCACCCTAAGTTCGTTGCCCCCTTGCTCCAGGCCCCAGGTACCTCTCCTAGAAACTCCTGCCCTCAGCCTCTCCTCTGCCCTGCTCCTGGCCCTTCTATCCTTGGACAGACCAGGCTGCGTGGGGAATGAGAAGCATGGACAGAGACCATGGTTCTGCCACTAACCTGCTAGATGGTTCTGAGCAGCTCCCTGACTCTCTCTGGTTGCCCAGGTCTCTTTCAGTTTTGGGTGGTGGAAACTCAAAACTGTGAATCTCAGTAAAGAAAGGGAATCCACTGGCTGAAAAATTCAGGGAAGGTTGTCTTCAGGCACAGCTGGATTCAGGTCTTTAAACAATGCCATTAGGAACCTATCTTCATCTCCTAGTTTTGTGCTCCTCTGTGATGGCTTTGCATTCATGCTGGTAAAGTTGAATCCCAGAAACTCAACCCCCAAGGGAAAGTGAGCTCATTTCTTGCAATCTCAGGAAAAATGAAAGATTATTTTGAGTCGATCTGACCTGGGTTGCAGGACCAATTCTTCATTTTTCTATTTATCCATCCACCATCTATCCTTCCATCTCTTTTTCTCTCTTTATCTACTTTCCTACCTATCTACCTATCAAAAGAAACAGAGAGATGAAGAGAGTGAGAGGACATGAAGAAGCCCATAGGTTGACACTACTATTTGATTGTTGAGGTTTGGGATAATATGGTCAGCTCTGGAGCAGAGGATGGGGTGGCATGGCCACCCCCTACTTGGATTGAGTGGAGGAGGTGAGAGGTACTGGTTTAAGGAGAAGGGGATAAATATTAGACAAGCAGATACCACAGGAATCCATCCTTCAGCACCCCTGTGAGGAGGGCATTTCCTGGGTCAGGAAACTAGGGAGATGTAGTGACTTGCTGAGTCATCCTTCTTAGGTCTATCTGTTCTTGGCTGTCTTTGATGGGAGGGATCTTAACTGGAAGTTTTTGGTGGGGAGATGGCTAAAGTATTATTTGGGAAGATCCCTCAGACCCCAGGTTGGTCATTTGTGTCATTTCATTGGCCCAAGTGGCTGGTCTAGTGGCTAGAGGGAGTAGCGGCAGCTCTTCTTGGTGGGTGGAGCTTAGCATCTGAGAAGGTAGCATCCTGTGGCCTCTCTAAGGATAGAGTTGTTCCTGAGTCTAAACACTTCATGTCCTGGATAGGGTAGAGAAGGACACAGAGAAAGTCTGGGCCATACCAGGTCTACCTCTGTGACATTAATGGGATTGTGTTTAAGTCCTGTCTAAGACCTGTGAAACATACTGAGCTTGTGTCACATTTTCTTGGGGCCATGTCAGAGAATGTTGTGTCACATCTGGGTGTGTTCATGCATGTTGGAACCATGTCAGGATGTTCCGGGAGATGTTAGAGGGTGTTGGGCAGGCAAGGTTTCCTAAGCCCCTGAAAGACATTTTGTAGGTGATAGACTGTATTTGCATGTCTAGAACATGTTGGAACATGTAGGAGCTGGGCCAAGATGTGCTGAGGCATACTTTGCCTGGTTGGGGTGTGTCTAAGCACACAGGAATGTGTGGGCTCTACCTTTGCTTTACTTCATGCTGCAATCTGGTCTGGCCCTCCCCTCCCCCCTCCTTCCTGCTGCCTCTGCCCTTCACCCCATTCCTGCCATGCTGGACTTAGAAAGGGAATGCAGACTGCTGGCTAGAAGCCTCCTACCCCTTCCCCAAAGTTCCTCCCTTAGCCCTTTCCCTGGCCCTGATGGTCTGTTTCTCATGTCAGCCAATGTCATACCCAAGGATATGTTTTTCTACAGTCTCCTGAAGCCCTGGCTAGGTAAGTAACAATAGGTGATTGGGGATAGGGATGATCTTGCAGAGGGAGGACAGGGGAAGACATTGCCCTTGTGCACTCCTTGTTTATGCCCTTACTAGGGGATGGGCTCCTGCTGAGTGCAGGTGACAAGTGGAGTCACCACCGCCGCTTGCTGACACCTGCCTTCCATTTTGAAATCTTGAAGCCCTACATGAAGATTTTCAACAAGAGTGCAGACATCATGCATGTGAGTTTCTTGAAACCACAGTCCCGATGGTACCTTGGGAAAGGGGCAGTTGCCTCAGACACGTGTGGTCTGGAGTTCTGGCTCTGCTGGATGGCTTTGAGGCCATTGATTTTCTTCTGCAAGCCTCGGTTTCCTCATCTGTAAAACAAGGATAGTAATATCAATTTAAATGGTGGCTTAGAAGATATAATGGTATCATATTTCTGGCACATGATGGCATCGCTGAAGCCCTGTAGATCAAAGACAGTATGATGATTACGTAGTAGCTCTTTCTCCATAATACACCAACTTAAGTCATGGATTTGAAAGAATTAGTGTTGTTATTACTCATGAGATGATGAGTCTGTTGAGTTGTTCTTCTCATCTTAGCTGGAATCACTCACTGTAGGTATCGTAGACAGCTCTGTTGATCCAGGTTCTACCTGGTCACAGATTTGGGGTTCAGAGGACTGATTATGTTGGTCTACAATGGCCTTGATGGGACAACAGAAGACCTGCATTTTCCCTGTGTCCTCTAGCAGGCTAGTCTAATCTCAATCTTATGGTGGGAACAAGGTTCCAAAAGAGTGAGCAAATACCTGCAGTATCCCTGGAAGCCTAGTTTCAAAACTAATATACCATGTTTCTACCATCTGTTGACTGAAGCAAGTCTCACCTCCAACTCACAGTCAAGAGTTGGAAAAAGAGTGTCTACCTAATGGAAAAGCTGCAAAGTATCATTGCAAAAGGTGAGAATATAGGGAGAGACAAAGGAATGGGGACATTTTTGCAGTTGCTTACTGCTATGATAATGATGAAGAGGATGATAGTTATTTAGCATTTACTGTAGGCCAGAAATGATGTGCATATATATTGTACATATGTACATGTTGCCTAATTTGATTTTCACAACCTTATTATATAGGCTATATATATATGTGTGTTACGTGATATAGGTTATATATATGTGTGTGTTTAATAATGCTACATTAGGGCCTCCCCGGTGGCGCAGCGGTTGAGCGCTGGGTTGCGAAGCTGCTTGCAGCCTCTGCAGTGCCGGTTCGATTCCTGGCTGCTCCCCGGCCACCAGAGGAGGGTCCCACATGGCGCGCAGACCTCTCCTGCCGCCCGCTGCTCCCCTCAGCAGTGTACTTCGGCCCTTCTGCCTGCTCTGCTCCCCGCTCTGGCTCTGGTGAATTCTCTCACCCTCCCGTGCTTCTGACTGTACCCAGTGCTTGTATAAATAAATAAATCTTTAAAAAAAAATAATAATGCTACATTAAAGATGATGAAATGGAAGTCAGAGGAGTTAGGGAGCTCACTCAAGTTCATATAGCTACTGCAGGAGCTCTGAGTTATAGCAGGAATTCTAACTGGGTTATCCAACTCCAAAGCAGTCATCTTACTGAAGATTTGATGGGTGGAGCTGAGAGGATAGCAATGAGTTGACCAAAGGGATAAGAAAATAAGTCCAAATTGGACTTTGAACCCACATTTCCTTATTCCCAGATGGGGGGATTTTAGGTTTTAATAGTAACAGCTTCTACTGCTACCCATCCTATCTGGAGATGGGTGCTTGGGGAAGAGGATGAGAAGGCTGGGTCTGGGGGAGTTCCATCCTTTTGATTGGTGTTAGGGAAAGGCTCACAGAATGAAGGCCCCTGCTCCATCTCTGCTTCCTTCTCTGTCCAGGCCAAATGGAAGAACCTGGCGTCAGATGGTAGTGCCCATCTGGATATGTTTGAACACATCAGCCTCATGACCTTGGACAGTCTGCAGAAATGTGTCTTCAGTTTTGACAGCAATTGTCAAGAGTGAGTCCTTGTCCAGGGCCCGGGAACATGAGCCACAGATTCAAGGGAATAGATGGGGAAGGAAGGACTGACAAGGGCAAGAGAAGGGGCTTTGTGGAGAAGCCACAGGCCAAAGTTGGAGCTTGAAGACAAGGAAGGAAAAAGAGAAAAGTGATCCTTTCACATAATATTTGACAATGGCCAGGAGGCTAGGATGACCTAAGCCTGGGGAGCAGAGAGGAGACATCTTGGAAATAGAGAGTTGGAGGAGTAGGCAGGGTCTATATCTAAGAATTTTCAAAAGTCAGAGGAGTATACACTATCCTGAGACTTCCAGGGAGCCATGGAAACTCTTTGAGCATATGGGGGTTGTAGTCAAAGTTGAGTCTGGACTTACCACTAGAGTGGACTGTCACATAGACACAGTATGCAAAGAGGCCATGGAGAGGAGGACACCTGAGCTTGGTGAATAAAACTGGGCACATCTGGGAGAAACTGAAGAATGATTTTACATGTGAGAGAGAGGAGATGAGCATGATGTTCAAGAACTCTGAGGTCGGGAAATAAAGCAGCTCCCAGAGATGGGAGACACAAAGAAAATTAGGCTTGGAGACACCCTTTTCTGGATGGGATGTGGTCTTAGGTTTCTGGCAGGGATGTGCTCCCAGGGTTTCATGCCTGGTAAGGAGCCAATTCTTAATGCTTTCTCCCCATTGATCCTGCAGGAAACCCAGTGAATATATTGCTGCCATCTTGGAGCTCAGTGCCCTTGTGATAAAGCGGACTGAGCGAATCTTCCTGCATGTGGACTTCCTATACTACCTCACCCCTGAGGGGAGGCGCTTCCGCAGAGCCTGTGACCTGGTGCATGACTTCACAGATGCTGTCATTCAGGAGCGGCGCCGCACCCTCATTCGTCAGGGTGTTGATGACTTCCTCAAGGTCAAGGCTAAGACCAAGACTTTGGATTTCATTGATGTGCTCCTGTTGGCCAAGGTGGGATCTGAGTTCAACAGATAGATGGGATCTTGACATCAAATTTCAGATCAGAGAACTTGATTTTGATGCAAAGGGTACTGGGGAGCCATGGAAGGTGCTTGAAGAAGGGAAGGACAGGTCGGAGATATGTTTTTTTTTTTTTTAAAGGGGCATGTATTTTTATTTATTTATTTATTTGTTTGTTTGTTTGTACATGCACTGGGTACAGTCAGAAGCGCGGGAGGGTGAGAGAATTCACCAGAGCCAGAGCAGGGAGCAGAGCAGGCAGAAGGACTGAAGTACACGCTGAGGGGAGCAGCGGGCAGCAGGAGAGGTCTGCGCGCCATGTGGGACCCTCCGCCGGTGGCCGGGAGCAGCCGGGGATCGAACCGGCGCCACAGAGGCTGCGGGCAGCTTCGCAACCCAGCGCTCAACCGCTGCGCCACCGGGGAGGCCCAGGTCGGAGATATGTTTTACAGATGACTCTGTAGAAGGCTGCCTGGAAGGAGCAAACAGGAGGCAGGAGGCCAGGGAGATCTATGGTGTGGCTCTGGATATGAGAAGGAAAGGTCCTGCTTGGATAATAGAGCTTCAGGGACTGTTTCAGTCCCTGAAGACTCAGCCCTGGAACTGGTGTGATTTGAGGGGTCTTGTATTTTCCTCAGGATGAAGATGGGAATGAATTGTCAGATGAGGACATCCGAGCAGAGGCTGACACCTTCATGTTTGAGGGTGAGGGCCCCTGTGTGGGACTGTGGAGGGATCAGGGACATGGTGGGTGGACCATGGACCACCCTGTACTGCCCCATTCTCCCCATCCTCCTCATGGGCCTTAATATAAGGGAGATGCTGAAGCATGTCAGAGACTCAAACCTGCCTGGCTGCTCCTCAGGACATGACACCACAGCCAGTGGCCTTTCCTGGGTCCTGTACAATCTCGCAAAGCATCCAGAATACCAGGAGCGCTGCCGGCAGGAGGTGCAGATGCTCCTGAGGGACCGTGAGACTAAGGAGATTGAATGGTGAGTGTAGGCTCAGGGCACTCCTGAGCCCCTCTCACTGACTTCCCAGCTGGGGCAGGGGGAGATCTTTTCATGGATTCTGTCATTATTGCTCAGTGGTAACAGAGTCCCGGGTCAGGGTCTGGTGCCAGGGTTGGATAGTGGGGCAAAGGTCCCCTTGTGTAATAAGAAGACCTAAATGTCCATCTTTGCTGGCCCGCTAACTTGCTATGTGACTTTAATAAAATCAATTCATTTTTTCTGAAATTGGTTGTGGGGAGCCTGCAGGGATGCTTGGAGCACTAGAACAATGTATGTGGAACAGATGTTGCTCAGTAGTGTTCAGTAAATAAACTTCTCTCCCTTGCTTTTACCCCAAGTTACAACTTTTTTTTTAAAGATTTATTTATTTATTTATACAAGCACTGGGTACAGTCAGAAGCATGGGAGGGTGAGAGAATTCACCAGAGCCAGAGCAGGGAACAGAACAGGCAGACTGACGAAGAAATACACTGCTGAGGGGAGCAGTGGGCGCGGCAGGAGAGGTCTGTCATGGCATGTGGGACCCTTACCAGTGGCCGGGGATCAAACTGGTGCTGCAGAGGCTGCGGGCAGCTTCGTAGCCCAGCGCTCAACTGCTGCGCCACCAGGGGAGGCCCCCAAGTTTACAATTTTTTTTAAAGATCTTCACTCCCCCTAACTTTTGCTTTTTTCTTTAATTTCCACCTGCTAGTCTATCCCAGGGATTCAGAGATCTTTGGGGATAAAATCATCCATCTCTTTGTTGAGTCACTGCGTTCACACTGCCTGTGCTTTACCATCTCAGCGCCCACTCACATTAGGATTTTCCGGTCAAGACTGGGGTAGAGAGAAAAGGAGGTGAGGTTGGGCAGTGAAATAATGAATGCAATTTCACATGGGTGTGGGTTGCAGCACAGCTCCAGGCCAACAGGACTGGCTGTATAAAGGTCAGGATGGAAGCCTGCAGGTGCGAGCTTAGCATGTCTAGGTAGGTAACTAGATCCTTGTGAAATTTACAGTGGGAGGAACCAGAGGCTGGAGCTGGATTAATGGAAGCCCCTCTTGGAATGCTTTGGAAACCATGTTAAGAATTTCCAAAGTAGGGCCTCCCCTGGTGGCACAGTGGTTGAGCGCTGGGCTGCGAGGCTGCCCGCAGCCTCTGCAGCGGAGGTTCGATCCCCGGCCACTGGCGAGGGTCCCACATGGCGCGACAGACCTCTCCTGTCGCGTCCGCTGCTCCCCTCAGCAGTGTATTTCGTCAGTCTGCCTGTTCTGTTCCCCACTCTGGCTCTGGTGAACACTGTCACCCTCCCATGCTTCTGACTGTACCCAGTGCTTGTATAAATAAATAAATAAATAAATAAATAAATCTTAAAAAAAATTTCCAAAATTATCAGTTTAAGTCCTTTGGGAAGCAATTTGGGATAAAAGATGAAAGTGGACAAAGTTGCTGCCATCAGGGCAATCTCATGTTGGACAGAAATGATTGGGCTGTAGTGGTGACCATGCTTAGTCATTGGCTGGGAGTTGCCCAGGAAACCAGCCCTGGTGTCAATACTGGGGCTGTGTCACAAGATCCTATTGCTAGGCTGTTAGCTAACTACAGTCCTTGACCTTGGACAGCATATCCTTCCCTCACAACAAAGAATCCATGGTCCTCCACCATCATCCACTGCTCTCTTCCCCTGCCTGTGTTTTCTTCTCTTCCCCTCCTCTCCTGAATGTCTCAGATCTATTGTCTGCTTTCAAGTATCAGTCTTACAGTTTGTTTTTGTATCATCCTTTCTTTGGGTTTCTTTAGATTTCATATACAAACGAAGACATCTGGTATTTATCTCTTCCTGGTTCACTTCATTCAGAATAATCCCTTGCACTTCCATCCACGTTGCCACAAGTGGCATGAGTTTATCTTTTTTGATTGCTGAATAGTATTCCATTGTGTATATACACCACACCTTTATCCATTCAACTGTCTTGGGTCATTTAGGATGTTTCCACATCTTGGCTATTCTAAGTAGTATTGCTATAAACATAGGAGTGCAGGTTTCTTTTCGAATTAGTGTTTTTTTGTGCTCTTTGGATAAATACCAAATTGTGAAATAGCTGAGTCATATGGTAGATTCATTTCTAGTCTTTTGAGGACTCTCCACACTTCTTTCTATAGGGGCTGGACCGGTCTACACTCCCACCAACAGTATCAGAGGGTTCCTTTTTCTCCACATCCTTGCCAGCACTTTTTTTTTTTTTTTTTTTTTTACCAGTGTGAGGTTTTCATTTCTTGCCAGTATTGTGGTTTTCATTTGCATTTCCCTGATGATGAATGATGATAAATTCTTTTTTATATGTATGTTGGCTATCTGTATGTATTCTTTGGAGAAGTGCCTATCTAGCTCTTATGCCCATTTTTGATTGGGTTGTTTGTTTTCTTTTGTTGAATTGTATAAGCTCCTTGTAGATCTTTGATATCAACCCCTTATCAGATTTACAGTGTGCAAAAATTTTCTCCTATCCAGGGTGTCTCCTTGTTTGGGTCACTGTCCCTTTTGCTGTACAGAAAATTTTTAATTTGATATAGTTCCAGTTGTTTTCTCCTTTGCTTTCCTTGCTGCTGGAGATGAGTCCATAAAGATGTTTCTGAAGTTTATGTCATGGAGTGTTTTGCCTTTGTTTTCTTTCATGTATTTTATGATTTCAGTTCTTGTTCATTTTGACTTGATTTTCATGTATGCTGTGAGATAAGCATCTGGTTTCATTCTTCAGCATGTGGCATTTCAATTTTGTCAGCACCATTTATTGAATAGGTTTTCCTTATACCAGTGCGTATGCTTTGTTCCTTTGTGGTAGATTATTTGTCTATAAATGTATGGGTTTATATCAGGGCTTTCAATTCTGTTTCATAGGTCTGTGTGTCTGTTTTTGTTCAGGTTCCATGCTGTTTTAATTATTATGGCTTTAGAGTTTAGTTTGAAGTCTGAAAGTGTGATTTCTCCATTTTCCCCTTTTTTTAGTCAGGAGAGTTTTGGCTATTTTGGGTTTTTTGTTTCCATATAAATGTCAGCAATCCTTGTTCTTTTTCTTTAAAGAACACTGCTGGGATTTTTATTGGGATTGCAATGAATCTATAAATTGCTTTGGGTAGGATGACTATTTTGACAATGTTGATTCTTTCCATCCGTGAGCAGGGAATACCTTTCCATTTCTTTGTGTCTTCTTCTATATCTTCTATAAATCGAACCGGCGCCGCAGAGGCTGCGGGCAGCTTCGCAACCCAGCGCTCAACCGCTGCGCCACCGGGGAGGCCCCTAAAAATGTTTTACAGTTTTCCTTGTATAGGTCCTTCACCTCTTTTGTTAGGTTTATTCCCAGGAATTTAATTTTTTTGGTATGGTTATTTTCTTCTTCCTTTAGTTTACTTGTATATAGGAAGGCAATTGATATTTGTGTGTTGATTCTGTATCCTGCTTTGCTGAACTGGTTTATTGTTTCAATTAGGTTTTCTGTGTAGTCTTTGGGGTTCTCTATGTAGAGTGTCATCTGCAAATAATGATAGCTTTACTTCTTCTTCCCCAATTTGGGTTCCTGTTATTTCTTTCTCATTCCTAATTGCTCTAGCTAGGACTTCTAATACTATGTTGAGTAGAGGTGGAGAGAGTGGACATCTTTGTCTTATATCAGATCTTAGTGGGAAGTCTTTCAGTTTTTCAGCACTGAGAATGATACAAAGTGTGGCTTTTATTATGTTAACATCATATATGGCTTTTATTATGTTAACATACTTAACCTCTCTTAGAGTCACAATTTGCAAACGCATTCTTCCATTCGGTAGGTTGTCTTTTTGTTTTGTTGATAGTTTTCTTTATTGTGCAGTTTTTTAGTTTGGTGAAGCTTTATTTATTTATTTATCTATCTATCTATCTATCTATTTATTTATTTATTTTTATTGCCTTTGCTTTTGGTATCTTTAGAGAGCCTGAAACTTTTATTTGTGTAATTTGATGTCTCGGGAGGCTGGATTTTTAACATTCTTAACTATATTATTATATCACAGATCTCAGTGTGGTTCATACCTTTTTCAGAAATGTAGCCATCTAATTTCATTAGATGTCCATGGTCCTCTGCATTTAATTTGCAGCTTTGAACTTTCATGGAACACTCCCTCTCTGGCTCCATAGAGTTGCATACCCATACAGTCACTCCATGGGCGTTGTTCTTTAGCCTCTTGTCTGAGAATCTCTGCATCTATTCCTGGGAGTCTGCTTGCTGGGGCATAAAACACACAAAGCCTTTCTTTGACCTTGCAGATGCCCTCTGGAGCGGTGACCCTGCCCATACCTTCAGCAATACACAGGGTCCCTGTTAACATTACCCACCTTGTCAATTGTTTTCTTAAATAGATGTGAACTACTGTCTCATTGCTGTATAATTTCCATTTCTTTGATAACCAGTGACTTGGAGCATCTCTTCCTATTTTAAATTTACAGTGAGCTTCTGAGAATTCCTAGATCATTTCCTCTACCTACTTTTCTTTTGTGTCACCTGTCATAGCTCATTGATTTGAAGAAATTCCTTACATATTCAAGATATTATTCTAGATCTATATATTTATTGCAGATTTCTTCTGTGACTCTCTCAGCTGAATGTTCATTTGGTGCATGGTGTCTTTTATTAAACAGAAATCCTTAATTCTGTGCATATGTATCAATTTTTTGACTTCTTGTTTGTGCTTGTAGAGTTTTAAGAATTCTTTCCTACTCCTACGTCTCAAAAGGTCACCCACATTATATTCTTTTAACTGTATGGCTTTACTTTTCACATATAACAGGAGACTTTATTCTGTGTAGAGTAGGTGAGGATTTAGTTCTTTTTGTTTTCACATTGCCAGTTGTTGGAACACTTTCTACCAAAGAGGGCTTATAGGGCCTCTTTTACTAGATTCTACATATCCACCTAATCAAGTGCCTCTCTTGGACTTTTCTATTCCACTTCTTGCAATAGTACAA